TGGCATAAGGTTTCTTCTTCTCCCAAGCAGACTCTACACGTAGTGGGATCATAGGTGTTTTATTTTATCCACCTGTTCACTGCCTGTGGAGCAGAGGTTTTGCTTATCCCAAATACACAGGTTCGGGTCCTGTGAATGGTACATGTGATCCCTCTTTGGCGAGTTCATCAGCCTTTTCATTTCCTTGGATACCATTGTGCCCTGGTACCCACGCTAGTTTTTACCTTGTTGTGGGTTACCAGATCATTTAGTATTCCAAGGCAGTTCCAGATAAGCTTTGACTTGATTCTGTTTGAATCAAGAACCTTTAAGGCTGCTTGGTTATCTGAGAGAATTAGGATGGTTTGATTTTTGTACTTCCTTCTTAAATTCTCTCATACACACAATTCGATTGCATGTATTTTAGCCTGAAATACAGTGGTATGTTTTCCCAGTGAGACGATGATGTCGCATTTGAGTTTAACTCCATGTATGCCAGAGCCTGTTCCCTTGTTAGTTTTAGATTATTAATATTAATAACTAACGTTTATATCATGATTAATAATTAATATTACTGAATTTTTCTATAACATTCTAACTTTTAGCATCAATTTATTATAAAATGTACGATTCAGTATTCACAATTGTTTTTTATAAGCGTGCAATATAAATAAAAAACATAATTGTTTTGTAATGATGTAAATGTTTAATATATAACTTTTGTCACACTAACTGCACAATAATAAATATACATAAATAGCAAATAAATAAAAATTAGAAATATTTTTTTCAAAACGCACAAAAATAGCTACGTATTTAGCCTAGCTAGTTGCCACGTGTGCTAATCTGTTATAGGGAAGGGCGAGACGATACGATATTTTTAAGTATCGATACTTTAACCTTCGATATTCTATATCGATATTTCCCGATTTTGATATAACTGATACCGATATTTTTTGGTATATATCGAAAGTGCCTTAGAGTTTAAATAATTATCACTTCCATTTCCAGCGAACACCTTTTTTTTAAAAGCGGGTAATGTCAAAGTATATTAACAGTTGAGTAGCGACAGCTGGGGAACCGAATTCTAGTGCGCCGACGCGAAATAGAGAGGCGAGACGTCTTCTAAAGATGTAAACAACCCCTTTCACTTTAGTCCGGCAGCTGATATAGGAATTCGTTGTTGTGGATTTATTAGTCAAAAATTGTATTCAGCGACATGTTTAAACAACGCGAAATTGAAAGTTTGAGACAACTCGATTAATAAATAAGAAGGTCCATAAGTAATAATTTCTATTGTTATCAAAAATCAAAACCCTGTGCACCTACCAACTTTAAAGTCTCTAGCTCATCCGGACGTAGGTAAAAAAATTGAAATTTATCAATAGTGATATATATTTTTATATTTATTACATAAGTTAAATACTTATAAATATAAAACTGCCTGATGACCAAACCTTTATTATAAATGTGAACTACAAAAGAGTTTTACTTCAAACTACGTCGAGCAGTGTAAACATCACATTTAAGACCAGTTCATAATTCGAGCAGTGTTTTAGTGTGTCGTTCCGTCAATAACGTCAAAAGAGAGAGAAAGAAAATTTGCACCACCCAAGATCAAAGGCACCGACGCTTTATGTCGCTACTCAACGGTTAATATACTTTGGTAATATAATGTGGAAAACGGTTGTCACAGCTTTTGTTTTTAAAATCGCTTGACAAAGAAGATTGGCATTTATAAAAAATACCGTTTAGTTTTTTTAATTTTTTGTTATATTTTATACATTTTCCTCTGTTCTATTTTTAGTTTGTCTTTTTTATTGTATGATTGATAAATATATTTTTAGATTATGGAGTATATAGTCACTGAACTTTAATCCTGTATAGTAGGTATTAGAGAAAATTATTGCAAGTTCACTTAAGGTCAGTCACTATTAGTGTCGCTCTTATTTTAACATCTGAGCATGTACAGATCACTTAAATTCTAAAACTGACTTTAAAAAAGATTGTGCATGTCCTTAATTGTGGATGTTTAAGGACAGCAATTAGTGGCGACCTTATAGTTTTCGGGTGCGCTCGCCGACATTCGTATCAGTTCAAAGTTTTTTAATATTAAAAATTTATTGTTATCGTCATCTAAACCTTCTAAAAAAGTAATTTCTAATGCCTCTTCCATATTATGTACTATTATAAACAACAAAAAGTGAACTGTAATTTAAAATTTTTTAAATGAGGTTAGAAATATGTATAAGCACAGGGACTCTAATGTCAAAATTTCAGGTTTGCAATAAGTCTTCTTTTAGCATGGAATTTATTTGCCTTTTACGTTGTCAATATTAGTGGCTGACGTTATATAAATTTGCATAACTCTATTATTTGGAATAAATTTTTTTTAGCATAATATTGTCGTATCGAAAAATATCGATACTATACAATATCGATATTTTAAGGTGCTTATTTTTAAGTATCAATATTTTTTAAACGATACGTATCGATACGGAGTTCCTTGAAGCCCAAGGACAAGTTTTTAATAGTTCTCCTTTTCAAAAAATAACTTTAAATTTTTTTTTTATATAACATTTTTTTATGTATTGTTAAAAACTCATTTCAAAAGTTTAGATAAAGATTCATTGACTGGCCCTGGATACCGAGGTATAAATCTTACGGCGTTCCACTTAATAGTTGATTCTCAACGATGCAACATTTCACATAATAGGTATTGTGACTCGTATTATGTCAAACAAATCTCTGAAAGTATTGGTACTCAACTCTAATAAAAATGTACATGTCATAGATAAATTACTATATAAGATAAACCGTTTAAATGCACGGCACTGGTAATAAGTTGTTAGTTCCTCAGCATACTATTTGGAGCCATAATCGTATACTACACAATGGGCCCGTTCACTTTCATTTTTGAATGTGAATTAATTATATATTTATAAAGATATTAAACTCTTTTGTCTGGTGGTACTTTTCCCGTTAAAATATTTTTGCTAGAAGTAAGGGAATTCCCATAAAATTCTTTCAGTGACTCATTGCGTCAGAAAATCCCTAATTCCGTTCACGTCTCGTATCGGTTATGCTTAAAGACGGCGGGGTTGTCGGAAGTATCCCTAATATACAATTTCTGCATTTATATGTAATTTAAATAGTAAAATTCCATTATTTTTCTAAAAATCGTGATGTTATATTTTCAGATTTAAAGCTGGGAGCTTATTTTTTACTTTTTAATTAAAACAATTATTATTACTCAGGCTGAAAATTAACCAGACCATAATTAAAAAGTAGAAATTTGATTTGCAATATTTATCTGGTAAACGTGGCAACGTTGCATTTATTTCTAGAAGTGTGTAGACAACACTATTTAGAAGTACTTACAACGTTGTCACGTTTACCAGATACATTTTCTCAAATAAAATTTCGATCTGGTAATATTCAGCTTGAGTAATACTAATTGTTTTTATTAAAATTTAAAAAAGGTAAGGTTTCCAGCTTTATCTGAAAATATAAACACATTATTTTAAAAAAATAATATATTTTTATCATGTAAATTTCTTTAATAAATGCAGAAGAGGAATGGTGGTGCAATGATACATCCGACAACCGCGCCCTTTTAACTATTAACCGATACGAGACCTGAAGGGAATTAGGGGTTTTCTGACGCAATGAGTCACTGAAAGAATTTTATGGGAATTCCCTTACTTCTAGCAAAAATATCTTAACGGGAAAAGTACCACCAGACAAAAGAGTTTAATATCTTTATAAATATATAATTAATTCACATTCAAAAATGAAAGTGAACGAGCCCATTGGCTGATTGCTTGACAGTTAAAGGCAGCAGAAAAGAAGAAATTAGAAAGAATATTGTAAAGCGTACCTGCGGTTCATTCAAATGTCCTTTATTTATTTGTTTACATTTTTTGGCATTCTTTACTCTAAAAAAACTTATATTTAAATTAAAATATTGTAGTTAACGTAAACATTAGTTTGTTAAAGCAATAAAACCCCAAAATATACAAATAAAAAAGTATTTGAAACACAGGTATAATTTAATCATTTAATACAAGTAAGGTGCATTTAAACGTTTATTACATACATAACATAACAATAATTGTAAGTGAAATTAATAGTAGTCTCCTCTTATTCTTGGAAAACGAACCAAATTTCGATGTGTTTTTATAAAAACAAAAAAAAGTGTTATTGAACAATTTCTTTTACCTATCAAAATGTTGGCCATACTTATAAGTACAAGTTATTTTTAATTTGTCTAAAATTTGTATATTTTTGGAAATACTAAGCTTTCTCTAGCTTACAAATTCTAATATTTTGTTTTCTATTAATAAAATTAAGCTTTTTCTCTTTAGGAGTTAAATTTTTGACTATACTTTCATTTATTTGTTACAAAACAGTTTTTCTTTGTTTTGAGGGTTGTTCAAATTGTTTATCACTAATACTAAGTTTACGTTTGCAACTCATTTCTTGTTTTTCGTCATGGATAGGTAAGCAAATCTATCTTATGCTGCTGTGTATGTTTTTCAGCCTCAACATTTTCTTCAATCTGACTCTCGGGTTGAGTTTAGTTGGGTATAGTTAAACTTAATGTACTATTATCTAATAAAATTGGTACAGCATTTGCAATTAGTCAACGGTTACTCTACCCTTTTTTGGGAAGTTATAAAATCCTTTAATTTATTTGATTATTATTTAATTTCTTAATAAATTTTCTGAAAATGAAAATATAGTACTAGTATACAATATGTTAACTCTCCTGTCCTGTCTCCGGGAGAACGGTATAAAAATGCAATGCCATTGAATAGAGAGAAATAGAATAATTCCGCAATATCATGGAAAGGGCGCGATTAAACCAATTTCTCTCTTTATCGCCCTCACGTCAAATATAATTAAGCGTCTAAGCTTTATTTGCCTGGAGCGTCGCGTTAACATACTGTATGATCAAACTTAGTTCTATTCTTTCGAAATGGTTATTTTATTATATATTTTTATTTGTTTGTTCACAGGTTTTGCCACCTAGCGTTTCGTGAGCGGGTGCCGAACAGGTATGTATATTTCTTGCACTGGTTCATGACCAACGATGAAAAACTATTAGACTAATTTTGTTTACAAAAATCAAATTGTAAACATCCACGGTGTCATCTACATTGTTGTCAAATTATTATGATAAAGTATGGGACAGTTTTAGGCATTCCAACAATCTGTCAAAATGCTGACAAATGGGAACTGACAGTTTAGATATGACAACACTGTGAGTCTGTTGTCATTGTCAGGGTCAATGCTTCATACATAGTTATATAGATTGTTCGAAGCTGGTCGTTTGCGAATGGCCATATTGCCTCACAAGTGCTCATTAATCAGAATCAGTTTAACAAAAATGTGTTTACAAACCAATTTTCAGACTTTGAATATTATAAAAAAAAATACGTGTAGCACTCGGGGACTGCCTCGGTAAAGCTATTGCATAGCATTTTTTATCAACTTATGCAATTATAATTATTTATTTATTTTATTTAGAACTACAACTAAACCAGCATTAGTCAAATTGTGTAAATTTTAAGAATTATGGATTATTTCAGATTAGGATTGGACGATTTTTCCACAAAACACCAATTACCCGTGTTTCACCCTGGTGCCAAATAAAATACCCCACAAAATACCCCAGAAAAAAGTTCCCACCAAAATTTCCCCCGAACTGTTTAAAATCCCCCAAATTTGGGGGAAAATCGCCCCATATGGCAACCCTGTCTGTAAATATATACATGTTTTACATACATCTTACAGTAAGATGTATGTAAAACATGTATATATTTACATATACAAAAATACTGAAAAATTTCAATTTTGCACTTTTCCTCAAATTTTCCATTACGGTCCATTTTATAGAAATCGTAAATAACAGATATATTCCATAAAATATAAAAATGAACCCTTATAAAGTACCCCCCATATGTTCTGACTCTGTCCAAAATCTAATCAATTCACCACAGGCCGGAATAAAGCCTAAGTTTAAAATTTTACTTTCATAATACAAATAAATATATCTCTGTTAAAAAAATTTTTATTGTCATTTTCATACCACTTTAAATATTTTTATGAAATTTGGTGTACGACGTTTGTGCATTAAAGAGCAATTTTTGACCTGGACACATTTTTTTTATTTCCATACTGGACTCAGAGTAGATATTTTTGAAAGAAAAAAAAAATACGTGTGACACTCAAGGACTGCCGCGGTAAACCTATTGCATATCATTTTTTATCAACTTATACAATTATAATTATTTATTTATTTTATTTATGCAGTATTTTTTTTCTTTGATATTAATTCAAGTTTTTTCTTTGATATTAAATTAAGTTACACTTTTTGAGCGTGGTGACCGATAAGTAAACAAATTTTTTTCTATTATTGAATAAATGAGAAGTTAATATTGTTGTACTTATTGAAAAAAAAATGTATATTTCCTATTTGTTTATCTTTTTGAATTTAAATAAACAAAGTCTCCACTGGTAGCTTGCATTTTTAAAATTAGCTGAACTTGAATGAACCTCGTTATGCGCCACTATGCATTGAATAAGTATACACTTTTTAAAAACTAAGCATTTTAAATTACCAAGACTGTGAAATAATAAAACAATAATATTTTTCCTTTTTTTTAAGAAAAAAAAAAAACTAAAAGTTTCGGGGCTCGAACCACCAACTTTGCTATCCACACTATCCAAATTTTGACCACTGCACGCTCTGAGCCACCGAGGACATCTTGATATAAGTTTAGAATCGTATATACTAATATAAGCAGGGGTTCCGGCACTTGGGCCTGGGAACTTTTTACTGACCGTGGGAACCAAATTTTCCTTTGATGATACCGCCCTGCCACGCCCACGCAATTCTTATCTACTAATCGGTTTTTAATTGTTTAGTCACGTGTCGTGTACAGCAAATCGATTTTTAATTGCTTTTTAATTGTTTAGTCACGTGTTTTTTACTGACCGTGGGAACCAAATTTTCCTTTGATGATACCGCCCTGCCACGCCCACGCAATTCTTATCTACTAATCGGTTTTTAATTGTTTAGTCACGTGTCGTGTACAGCAAATCGATTTTTAATTGCTTTTTAATTGTTTAGTCACGTGTCATCCATCTCTCATTCTATACACGTAATATATCCACCATACACCATTTTAATATAATTTTTTAAACCATTTTTTTTATTAAAAAAAATCTGACTACACGGGGGATCGATCCACCGACCCAGAGATTACCAGTCTGCGTCTTAGACCGCTCGGCCACGAGGACATTTAATAATCATTTACAAGATGATGTATATAATCAACCGCACGCAACGCACGCAACGCACGCAACGCACGCAACGCACGCAACGCACGCAACGCACGCAACGCACGCAACGCAACGTATGCAACGCACGCAACGTATGCAACGCAATGCCATAAGGACCTTAGCGTGTATCACGTGGGCCGATTTAAATGGGGGTATGTGCACCGGAAAGTTTGACGACTGACGTTTGGCGTTTGACGTTTGACGTTTTGACGTTTGACGTTTACCGTTTGACGTTTGACGTTTTACGGTTAACGTTTGACGTTTCTGCTAGTATCAAGCGTCAAGGTTAACAGCTCAGATCTCCGAGAGGAGGCGAATCCTACACCCGACAATATTTTTTTAAAGTAAAATAAGTATCCCATGTTAAATCCCATAAGAAATCGCTAAGGTTCATTCTGGCAATTTTTGTCTAAAAGTCCAAAGGTCAATCGAAGTTCGAAGTCTGGGTTATCAGTAAACATGATAACGTCGAAAATCCAAGATGGCGGCAATAGTTGACGTAAACAATGAAAAATATACGAGGTAAATGAAAAGTCAGAAGGGCCTTAGCGTATATCTCAGCTATCGTTGGTCCGATTTAAACGGGAAAAATGATATTACGTAGAGAATGATGAACGTTGAATATAAAAATCATGCGCAATGCCACAAGGGCCTTAGCGTGTATCTTCACTGCTATTGGTCCGATTTAAACGGGAAAAACGACATTATGAAAAGAACGATTAACGTAGAAGAGAAAAATATTGTGCAATGTCAAAAGGGCCTTAGCACGTATATTCACTGCTATTGATCCAATTCAAACGGGAAAAACGGCATTAAGTAGAGATCGTGGTATAGATTAACGTTGAAGAGAAAAATCATGCGCAGAACGAAAGGCCACAAGGGCCTTAGCAAATATCTCAGCTATCGTTGGTCTGATTTAAACAGGAAAAACGACATTACGTAAAGAATGATGAACATTAAACAGAAAACTCATGTGTAAAGCCAGAAGGGCCTTAGCGTATATCACGTGGTCCGATTTAAGCGGGAAAAACGGCATTACGTAGAGAATGATTAACGTAGAAGAGAATTTTTATGTAAAGCCAGAAAGGCCTTAGCGATTCAAACGGCTACGTGTAGAGAATGACATCTAGTTGTCATTTCGCACATGCGCAGTTCATAATACCGTTTTCATATCTTTGTTAATATCGATCGGATTTGAACGTTGAAAATGGTAGATGACAATGTCATCTAGATGGCATGTGCACATGCGCAGTTCAAGGGTTAGTTCTCGCTTGTCACTTTATATCTTCGTTAATATCCCATCAGATGTCTTGAACTAACCATATACAAGATGGCGGAGTCAAAAGGACCTGTCAACTGTCAAGTATAACTTCGTTGCTATTGGTCGGAAAGGAATGTGGAAACAAACAGTTGATGTATTCGTTTCGTTTCGTTTCGTTTCGTTTCGTTACGTTTCGTTACGTTTCATTACGTTTCGTTACGTTTCGTTACGTTTCGTTACGTTTCGGTTACGTTTCGTCACACTTCGTCACGTTTCGTCACGTTTCGTCACGTTTCGATACATTTCGTTACGTTTCGTTTCGTGGACAAAAGGACCTAAGTCTCGGTGGCATGTCACCAGGTGCAAAATGGTCAAAAGGATCTTAGGTAGACAAACGGATAGACAGATAAAAATACAGATAAAAGGACAGGCAGACGGAAAGAGGAGACAAATATCTCCTTAAAATTTATTGATACGAGGATCCAAAAAGACCTAAACATTGAATAATACTTAGAAATCATGTAGAGAACAGTACAGGCCTAAGAACAAAAAACTACTGAAGAAGAAGATGAAGAGTGAAACGTTGAAAGGTTGATATCCGTAGAAATTTATAGAAAAAAGAATGGAAAATCGTAGAAATCTTTAAAGAATACACGCTGCTGCATTACCAAAGGGGCCATAGTTGGTTAGTACAGAAAATGTAATAACCAAGGAGCCTTTACTTTTCTGGATCAATGAATACGGGAAGGTAGCAGTCAAAAGTTCAGTATTTGAGAACAGGTCTAAGAAGTCGTATTGTTCGTATTGTAGTCATACATTATCGTCGTTTCCTTATTACTTACAAGTACAATAAAAATACTCTACGTCCATTGTCGATGGTAAAAAGGTAACAAAATACTCTTCGTCCATTATCGTATGTAAACCTGCGCAGTACGTTATTGTCGTGTCATCGTCTTAATCTTTATTAAAAATAAATACAACAATTACAATATACCATCTTCGTTTGTACTCGATTATTTTCGCATTTAAGATTAACAACCTGGAAAATCATCTGTCAAACATTTATTATTACTGTCTATTTTTTTTTCAAGCTATCAACCTAAAAAATATCGCAGCTATCCAACCATTGTCATCTCTACCAGGTTTTCGTATGTCTATTCAATATTCTTTTTAACCTAAAAATATGGCATCTGTCATCTGTCACTATTAAAAAACGTTTGTACTCACTTTTTTCGTATATTATTATTTAGTTTCAGTATTTTTGCATCATCTTCTGTCTCGTATGACTCGTTAAATCCAATAAAAAGACCTCATTTATTTTCATAAAGTAATTATTGATTGCTTTTATATTTAGCATTTCTGTCCTAAAAATATGACATCAGGCATCCGTCATTATTAAAAACGTTTGTACTCACTTTTTCCGTATATATTTTATTGTTTAATTTCGGT